TTCACATCCTCTGCTCAGCTGTGTGTGAAAGTCAGTGACTAATGCGATTAATGAAAACTGCATCTGTCCCCTGTGTGTGTGTCTCTCCATGCCCACGTTCCTTCTGTCTGTAGCTCCCTGTGCAGGTACAGATGTGGAGGTGAACTATGACTGCAACAACAACACAGCGATGGTGTCCTGGAGCTCGGCAAGAGGAGCCATTTCCTACGTGGTGACTGCAGCAACCGATGGTCACCAAGCTTCATGTGCGACTGTTGTGCCCCAGTGTGAACTGGTGGATCTGCAGTGTGGTCAGACGTATAACATCAGCCTCACAACTATCAGTGGCCAAAGCCAAACTGAGATGCACACTAATGTCACCTTCAGTACACGTGAGTCGAGCTACATATCCAGGATTAGTTGAAAGGAGAGTGAACAGAACCACTGATACTTTGTCCTGGTTTAAAACCAGGATCATAAATTTCTCTTTGTGACAAAACCTTTGTGTTTCTTCTTTGTGACATAGTAACAATATAAATATCTTGTCCAGGTCCCTGTAAAATTATAAATGTTGGAGTAGACCTGCAGTGTGGAACAAATACAGCCTACTTGTCCTGGGAGAAAAGAGAGGAGGTGGCTTATTACCTGGCCACTGGCTCCTGCAGCGTGGGAACGACTCTGCAGTGCAACTCCACCAACTCCGTCTGCCAGTTCTCCAGTCTACTGTGTGGAGAAACCTACAACTTCTCTGTAGCTGCATATAGTAACAAATGTTTTGGTGAAATCAGCAGTACTGTGGAGATTCAGACAGGTACAGGGCATTACTGTCACCTAATTAACTAGTGAGGGTGATGACTAAGACTGAGAGAATGAGATTTTACTTTTTGATTGATAAAAAGCCAGGTTTCCTTTCTAATCTATTAATTGGTGTGTCCATTATCTACCCTTTATTTATTTAATGAAGTTTTTCTTATTTGCTTTGTAATAAGATTTTTCAAAAGGTTATAAATTTGCTGTCATTTTCAGTGTAACTGACCAAATGAGACAAATGTTTTGACTGGTTTCTACAGTACCAAGATTTAAGAAGTAATTTTCCTTGGATCAGCAAATTAGGTAATGGACTAATGATTTTATCTCTGAAAGTAATGTTGTGTCTAACTCCTCCATCAGAACCCTGTCAGCCAACTAACCTGACAGTGGACGGGTTATGTGACCTTGGGGCGGTGAAGTTGAATTGGTCTGTTGCTCAAGGGGCATCAGTCTATGTGGTGACAATTACAGGAGGCTTGGGATACAACACATCTTTCCAAACCGCTGAGACAGCGATAGACGCCGAGCTGCCCTGTGGACAGCAGTTCAGCTTCACTGTAAAAGCCCAAGACGCAAAATGTGACAGTGCCGTGAGCCTGCCTGGAATTTTCAGGACAAGTAAGCATCTCGTTTATATTTACACTATTACATTATTACTGTGACAGCAGAGGACATGAA